GGCGAAGATGCTGCGTGATAGACAAATCATGCTTCCCAGCTCCAAGGTTTCAGAGTTTCATTATCTTTACCAAATATGTTGCCTCTGGCCGCGACATGAACAAGTTGTTCATGCGACACTTTCAAGGTGTGCACAATTCCGCTATGCCACAGCTCAGGTTCAAAGGATATAGAGAAAAGTCCTTGCTACATGTGCTGAACTTGTGCCCAAAAGTGGCTGGAGCTGCTGGCGTCAATTTCCACAAAGCAATCTGTTAATTTTTTGATTTTGGCGATCTTGTCCCCATACCTTTTTTGGGAAGGTACGTGCCTATAGCTGCTGCTTTTGGCGGCATGTGCATTGGCGCCTTGGTACAGCATCGAAAGGCTGCAGTCATTGGCCAACCCAAAGCTATCAGTTGCATTGCTAACCTCACAACCTGAGGCATGTTAACGATTGTTGCTGACTTCTTGGGTGCAATTGGCAGTGGCACTGGCATCCTGCCTGGCACTCAAAATTGTGGGACATACACCCTTTCGCAATGTGAGCTGTCAGCTTCTGAATAGGCCTTTACCTTGAAACTCAAATGCGGAAGACATTCGGAGCCTGGCGCGCTTTCAGCTTCAGGTTGGCAGTCACCATCATCTACCAGCATATGGAGAACGTATCAAGCTCAGATTTACACTTTTGATCATTGCAAAAATTTGCCTTCATTGAGATCAGTTTGCGAATTTTGAGGCTCAGCGAGAAAGAGACCAGGGTACCATGCTGTTCTGAGCAAAAAGGATTAAAAGTGTTTTATCCGTATAGATATTTGGTGCCTAAATATTTTTGAGCTGACGCTCATCGTCGGCTCCACCGGACCATTCGGCCCTCCATTTCATCGCAGTGTGGGCGTGAAAGTTACTGAATGAGGACCCCAATTTCAACTTATTACTTCGTGTAAAGGCGCCTCTGTACAAAGACTTCTCTGTGTAAAATTTTCTGTGTGTAAAAAGCTACTCTGTGCAAAGGCTTCTCTGTGTAAAAGCCCTTGTGTGTGTAAAAGCTAGCTGTGTGTAAACGCTTTTGTGTGTAAATGCTCCTCTATGTAAAGGCTTCTTTGTGTAAAAGCTTCTGTGTAGAAACGCGTCTGTGTGTAAAAAGCCCTCTGTATAAAGACTTCTTCGTGTAAAAATTTTTGTGAGTAAAAGCTCCTAGACGTTTGTTTGTAGAAGTACCTTAGAGTAAAGATTTCTTTGTGGGAAATTTTCTGTATGTAAAAAGTTTCT